GTTGGCTGCACCCCGTACATGGTTACCCCAGGAGACCAGCTGCAGGCCTGGCCCTCCCCGCACGCCTGACCCTCGCGCTCCCCCGCCCCCGCCCCCCCCTGTGGGTTCCTGGAGGGCCGTGATCCCTGCCTTCCAGGACCTTCCGCGGGGCAGTGCACACAGCAGGTGCTCAGTAAATGCTCGCTGGGTTGAGCTGATGGCCAGACCAGCCCTAGTTCCCCCAGCCCAGCAGCCCCCCTGGGCGTTACCTAAACTGCTGTTAAGGAGGTTGGCCGGAGCTCCAGCACCCTGCAGGGGAAACCGATTGCTTCCGGCGTGAGCAGGGGTGTCTTCCACGTGGGGCTGCTGCCTCGGCCTCGTCTGTCTGGGGAGGGGGGTGGAGGGAGAGGGGAGCGAGGGGGGAGGGGAGCCTCACCCCACACCCTCGACAGCCCCACCCCGGCAGTTTTCCTCCCCAGGTTACTTCTGCTTTTTTACTCAGTGGCAGCGGATGAGGGGGAGGGCACAGCGCCTCAGACCCTGCTGTGCAGCTACAGACCTGGAAGCACCTTCTCGCCCCGCCCTTCTGGCACCTGGGCAGCTTCCCGGGTCTGGGCTGGTGGTGGGTCAGGGGCAGCCCCTCTTGGCAGGGCTACCAGGCAGCCTGTGTCCCCTCCCACCCTCCTCCCATGAGGGCATCAGAGCAATTCCTAACAGGGGCCTGCTTTAAACCCGCCCACAGGCCCTCGGGGCTCCCTACCCCGAAGGCAGTGCCGACATTTGGGGCTGGAAAATTCCTTGTGGTGGAAGAGGGCTGTCCTGGGCATTAGGGGTTGTCTGGCATCAAGTCTAGCCTCCCACACCCGATGCTAGCAGCACCTCCACCCCAGCTGTGAAACCCAAAACCGTCTCCAGAAAGGCTCAATGTCCCCTGGGAAAGAAATCGCCCCATCTGGGGACCCCGGGCAAGGTCCTGGGCCTGGATGGGCTGCAGGGAAGTGAGGCCCTCGGGGCCTCAGAGGCAGGGGATCCCCTGGGAAGGCTTGTGCTTTCACTCCTGACCTGCCATCTGCGGCCGACCTTGGACAGCTGAGCCGGGAGGCAGACTGGAGAGAAGGCAGACGCTCGGACACGACGTCCGTGAGCTGCCACCCTGCCACGCGGGCTGCTCCGCGCTGCCTCTCCGCTTCCGCCTCAGCTCTCGCTGAACAGAGCTTTCCAAAGCGCCTGGGGCAGGGCAGGTGAAGGGCTGCACACACCTGCACTTCTGCTGGGCAGAGGCTGTTCTGCCGTCCCTCTGGGGGCGGCCTGGGGGTGGCCCTGGTCTTTGGGACCCTTCCTGTGTCATGGGATCCGTAGGGCAAAACAAGCAGCTCCCAAAGGCCGCTGAGGCTGGACCGCAAGGGCCCGAGGGCCACACTCCTGGGAGGGCAGCTGGGCTGAGGGAGGGCAGGGGCCCCTTACCTGGGACGGGGAGACTGTCTCGCCCCTGCTTTGGGCCTGGCACACAGTAGGTGCTTAACAAAACAGCTGTTGGCCGAGTGAATGGCCTCCTTGTGTGGCCCTGTGCACAGCCTGTCTTGCAAAGAGGCTCACTCACCCGGCACCTTCCCGAGTCCTCGGGGAGGGGGGGTGGTGGGTAGCCCTGGACAGGGTGAGCACCTGCCAGCCAGGCTGGCTCGGGGTCCCCGGCCAGGCGTGCTGAGAACCGTGGACACTGTCCACCGGGCATCTGCCTGCTGAGCCTCCCTCCCTGGGGAGGCCAGGGACCGCCCTGGGGGCTCGTGGACCAGCCATGGCTGGGGGGCCGTGGGCCGCGTCCACGCAGTTGCCGGTGCCTCTCCCCCGCACGTCTCCACCTGCAGAAGCTCCTCGCACACCTTCAGTATTAATTCTTGTTAATTGTAGCACCCGTGCTCTCCTGTTCTGTCTTCGTGCGTTAACTTGGTCCAGGCATCCCCTCGGACTAGAGGGACAAACAGAGGGGGAGGCCCTGTCATACGAGCAGGATTCAGTGTGCCGGTGACCCTGTCCTAATGTCTGGAACCCGCTGGTGCCCCCAACAGACACTGGTGATCGTGGGTCCCCAAAATATCACCGGGACAAAGTGTCACTTGACGCTTTCTTTTTTCTTTTTTTTGCAGTACGCGGGCCTCTCACTGTTGTGGGCTCTCCCGTTGCGGAGCACAGGCTCCGGACGCGCAGGCTCAGCGGCCATGGCTCACGGGCCCAGCCGCTCCGCGGCATGTGGGATCCTCCCGGGCTGGGGCATGAACCCGCGTCCCCTGCATCGGCAGGCGGACTCCCAACCACTGCGCCACCAGGGAAGCCCTCTTTTTTCTTTTTTAAAATTAATTAATTTATTTATTTTTGACTGAGTTGGGTCTTCGCTGCTGCGCGCGGGCTTTCTCTAGTTGCGGTGAGCGGGGGCTACTCTTTATTGCGGTGCGTGGGCTTCTCTTTGTCGCGGAGCATGGGCTCTAGGCACGTGGGTTTCAGTAGTTGTGGCATGTGGGCTCAGGAGTTGTGGCTCACGGGCTCTAGAGCACAGGCTCAGTAGTTGTGGTGCACGGGCTTAGCTGCTCCGTGGCATGTGGGATCTTCCCGGACCAGGACTTGAACCCATGTCCCCAACATTGGCAGGTGGATTCTTAACCACTGCGCCACTGGGGAAGTCCCTTGACGCTTTCTACTGAAGAGTTGACGGGCCTTTCTAGAAGTTCTGGAATGAACAATAAGGTTATTTGCCACATTTAGCTTCCCTGGGAGGGGCGCCATTCTGTCAGTGGAGACAGGGGTGCAACAAATCCTGTTAATGCTGGTGGGCCAGAGCCATGTGGGCCAGAAGCCACGTGGGTTTATGGTTTCGGTTCTCCATGTGGGTCCTGCTTCCCAGGCTTGGGGGTGGTGGGTCTCCTGGGGTTTCTGGGGGGAGAAAGCCACCTTCAGGGGAGCTGATCCGGCCTTTACATTGGGGCCTTCTCCCCTCCATCTCCCCACCTCATCCCTCCCCCAAACCCCCTCTCCCAGTTTCTCTGGTCTCTGGGGTCCTCCTCCTCCCAGATCAACCCCCCTCTGGACGCTTTTCTCATCTGGGGGCAGTTTCATCCCTGGGCCTGGGCAGTGTGCGCCTCACCCACCAGTCTGGGACCTGCCCTTGCCAGGTGGAAGGGAAGCTGGTGACCACATGTGCCCAAGGCAGCACACCCCCAATACCTAAATGCCCCTTCTTGCTTAGGAAGAGCACCCAGGGTCAGTGGGCACAGTGAAATCAAAGACCACATTTCCCAGCGCCCCTGCAGTTGGGCGTGGCCACAGGTCTGCATTCCTGAGGAGGCAAGACCAGAAGCATTGGGTGGGGATTCTGGGATGTCTCCTCAAAGGGGGGGGGGGCATAGTCCTCCAATTCCTTCCTTCCTGACACCTGGAATGCAGATGTGAAGGCTGGAGCTCAAGTAGCCATTTTTGACCAAGAGTCAAGGCACCTGGTTTCCCAAGGCCATGGGAGCTGCTGAGCCAGCCCTGGGAGAGAGAGAGAGAGAGAGGAAACCCCTGTGTGTTCAGCATGGTTGTCTGGGGTTTCTGAGGTGATGGGTAGCCTGTCCTGGGCTGATCTAGGGCACACTATAACTTTGTTGAAACCATGACCTATGATTCACACTCAGAGCATGCCCTGGTCAGAGGAACACGGGCTGGTAATGAGTTTCAGAATCACCAAGCTCTTGGGGTGACAGCTTCTCAAAAGCCCCTTTCCATTCCCAGCCTCTTCTCTCTCAGGGAAACTCTCCGAAACTGCCCTGAAAGCCCCTTCCCTGGCTGGTGCCGGGGAACTCCTGCCCTCTTATGAGAGCACTGAGTCCCATGGAAACCCCCGGAAGCCCCCTGCCTCCCCCTCCCCCAGCCCGATTCAGTGACTCAGCATCACTGAGGCTCAAAAGTGGGGGAGGGGGGAGAGGTCAGCAGTCAGGGAAGCCTGGCAGGCTCACTGGAAGAAGAAAAAAACCCGTCATCTCAGCCAATGGGATCCGGCGTCGCACAAACAGACTGACACACACGACGGAGTAGGGCTCAGTCCAGGCACGTGGTGTTTGGTGATCGAGGGACAAAATTCACCGTAGTAACAAAGGTAAAGAGACAGACCATGTAATCATCCCCGCAGAGGCAGCGCGGGTGGTTCATCGAGTCTGGGATAATTTGAGTGTCCTCGAGAGTGACGACTGTGGTCGACAGAAACGCAGTGAAGGTACAAAAACCCACGGGTCCTGCACACCCGTGTTCACAGCAGTGTTACACATGGCAGCCAAAAGGAGGAAGCAACCCACGTGTCCATGGACGGAGGATGGATAAACAGATGTGGCCCATGCACACAGTGGAATCGGATTCAGCCATAACGAGGAGTGAAGTTCTGACACCTGCTCCAACACGGGTGGACCTCCAGGACCTCATGCTGAGGGAAATAAACCAGTCCCAAAAGGACAGATCCTGTGTGATCCCACTCATATGAGGTCCCTGGAGCAGTTAGAGTCCTAGAGACGGAAGTAGGATGGTGGGGGCAGGGGCTGGGGGAGGAGGTGGGGGGTGAGTGTCGAATGGGGACAGAGTTTCTGTCTGGGGAGGTGAAGAGTCCCAGGGATGATGGCAGTGGTGGTCGCACGACTATGTGAGTATACTTATCACTGAGCTATTGACTTAAAAGTGGTTAAAGTGGTAAATTTTATTTTACTTTTATTTATTTATTTATTTTTAAAGTTGGGGGTAGGAGTTTATTAATTAATTAATTAATTTTTGCTGTGTTGCGTCTTTTCGTTTCTGTGCGAGGGCTTTCTCTAGCTGTGGCGAGCGGGGGCCACTCTTCATCGCGGTGCGCGGGCCTCTCACTATCGCGGCCTCTCTTGTCGCGGAGCACAGGCTCCAGACGCGCAGGCTCAGTAGTTGTGGCTCACGGGCCCAGTTGCTCCGCGGCATGTGGGATCCTCCCAGACCAGGGCCCGAACCCGTGTCCCCTGCACTGGCAGGCGGATTCTCAACCACTGTGCCACCAGGGAAGCCCCTAAAATGGTGAATTTTACGTTATGTATAATTTACCACAATAAAAATCCCTGAGTCCTTAATGATACTCGGTGAGAGGGTGAGAGAGAGTCCAAGACCTTGGCTACAGCAGAAGGCGACTGTTGCCTGTCGGTTGGGAGGAGAGGGGAGGGGCAGCTCATTTCCCCCCTGAACCTGCCAGAGGACACAGGTGGAAATGTCACATAATGGGAAAGTCACCACTTAGCCAGCCAAGCAAGGTGGCTGCCCTGGGGTGGGGTGTGGGGGGTACAGCTCCAGGAGGGGCGGCCAGGGTGCCAGGGGGCATCCACCCCACCACCCATCACCGGCCCTGTCGAAGGAGTGGTTGTTGTCGCCGTGATCCCGGTGCCAGAAACGTCGAACTGAACCTGCCGGGGCTTTAGAACCACTTCCCAGTCACGGGAAGCCCGTGATGGAGAACCACGTACAATGACTCTGGGAGGACCCAATCAAGCAAATCTAGAACGTGCGACATTTTAGGAGACAGGCCCCTTCAGAAAGCGAATGTCACGGGCACAAGGGGTCGGGGCGCTGCTTCCGAGTGAGGAGACCGAGAGGCCTGATGTCAACCAGGTGCGCCATCCCTGCTGTAAACACCTGGGGACAACCAGGCTGGCTGTCGGGGGCTGAGGGGTGCAGAGGGCGGGCAGGACACACACGTGGCTCTGGAGGTGAGCTCGGGGGTCTGGGTGCCAGGCCAGGGGCCTCATTCTGCTCAAACACGAAGCCCATCTCAGGGATCTTCGTGCCTGTTGAACGTGGGTGGTGGTCCCCTCCTTCCCCTATAAAACATTTAGGAGCAGTGAGGAGAGTAGAGACGTTGCCCGGAGGTGCATGGTGCCCAGCAGATGCCCGGAGAGCGTCGCCACCGCCCGCCCTCTTACCTCTTCTTGAGTTTGAATCCATGAATATTCAACCCACTTAAAACGGTGAATAATGTTCCCCTGTCATGAGGTGATGGAAGTGAGGTTGCAGACAGGGTCAGTGAGGAAACCCTTCTGGGTTCACAGACACCTGCCTGGTGGAAGTGGGACCACGGAAACTAGTGGCCTCTTCTCAAGGGGGCCCCCAGGACATTGTCAAGAGGGGGCTACAGGGTCCCCCTTTGTCCTGCCTGAAAGACACTCAGCCTCCAGGAAAAGCACCCAGCCCCTTCACTCCCCCAAAACCCCTTCCCCACACCTGCTTTGCTGGTCAGGAATTGAGCTCGGAAGGGGGTGGGGTGGGCACAGCTGCCACCCCCCAGCTCACAGCCCTCCACTCCCACTGCAGGGGCCCAGGCTTCCCTTCCCAGGCCCCCCTTAAGACCCCAAGGGGAGGATTCAGCTGCCACCCCTGACCCGACAGCCATGGCACAGAGGGTGACGCTGGCCAGGGTTTCAGGCCCAAGCGCATCAGTTGGGCGCTGGGCAGCCTGGGAATACGCGGACCTCTAGGTGGGCGTGTAGAAGGGAACAGTCCCGGGGAGGGCCTGGGCCGCCCCCATGATGACAGCTGTCCCCCGCCATCCCTGAGGGTGTCTGGTCCACTGGCCGGATGTGGACAGTGCCCCGGCTGAGGCCCTGCCTCACTCAGACCGCAGGGGTGTGGGTACCACCCAGCCCACCCAGAGCCTCAGCTCTACCTTCCTCTGCTCATCTGGGAAGAGCTGCCCTGGGCAGGTGCTCCGGCAAGGCCAAGATGAGCCTGTGCTCAGACCCGCATGTGCCGCACACCCAGGTCTCTGGGCGCCATGTCCCCACCCACCCTGAGAAGCTGCTGCGGTGGAGGTGGGGGAACGGAGAGGGAGCCGGCCTCCAGCCACCAGATGAACGTCCGAGGGAAAGTGCAGGGTGGGGGCCAGCCCTCCCAGGCTCCCCGGGCCCTGGAGGTGAGGGGGTGGCGGTGGCCTCATTTCCAACGCCGCCTACCGCCCGTGCTGTGGTGCTGGACACAGGTCACCCACAAATGTTGGTGGGCCCAGCCCTGCCCTGGGCTGAAGAGCCAGGTCTGCAGTGGGGACGCAGAGAGGGGCCCACGGTGTCTCTGTCTCACCCCGAAACCCAGAACCAGCCCAGGGTGGTCAGGCAAGGTGGCGGTCACCTGCAGCCCCCCGCATCTTCCGAGGACACTGGCCACATGCTTTAGGCTGTGATCCTGCAAGCCGGAGAGAGACACACAGACCCCCCCCCACCGCCAGCGTGGACATTGGGTCCCTGGGGGATCCCACGCGGCCTCTCAAGAGAAACCCACCCTCAGAGGCCACCTGGCCTGGCTGGGATCGGCTTTAGGGGCTCAGAGACACCACCTAGACGGGGTGTGCTGGCCCACCCCAGGATGGGGAGTGGGGAGGGCGGGCTCCATGTGAGACGTCTGGGCGCTGAGGACAGGTGCTGTCCTGGGGCCACGGTGGGCAGTGCCGGGCAGCATCTCTGCTCCCAGTGCCCCACGGGTGTGTCCCTGGGAAGGCAAGGCCTCTTGCAGGCAGCCCTGCTCTGTGCCCAGCGGCATGTGAGGGGCCATGCCAGGCCTGGGCCTGCGGAGCTGGGGTCCGTCTCCCCGGGGGTCCCTGCCCCTGGGTGCCCAGCCGCAGCTGTCTGGGAGCAGTAGGCACCAGTAGCTCATGCGAGCTGGTCCCATGTCCAGCCCGAGCCGCCTAGGAAGGTCCTGAGGGAAGGCAGGTCTGGGTGTTGCCAGGACCACGAGAAGTGGCACTGAGGCCGTTTTCAGCAAAGCGATGAGGCCACAGTCTCAACACCAGTGAGAAGACACCCCGGCGGGCTGGCCAACCCCAGGTCTTGAGGTCTCGCTCTGTTTGCGGTTTGGGGAGTTTTAGAGACACTCCTGCTACTTCCTGAAAGCTCTCAACTGGGCCTGCAAGGAGGGAGCACGAGGCTGGCGCCGGGCGGGCCCTGAGTAAGTCCCGGGCCCCTGTGCGGGGAGCAGTCGGGGTGGGGGTCTGAAAGCAGAGTGATTCGTTGGCATAAAGGTGGGGGCTTGGTGGAGGGTCTTAACCTGGGCTCCTTCACCAAGAGAGATCCCGGGGCACCACAGATGCGGTGGAGGGCGGGGGACTGGGGGGAGGGACGGTCCCTCTGCGGCCCCTTCAGAGCTGCTGAGATTCCCCTTTGCAGAGTCCCCTGCCCCCCGGCTGCAGTGCTGGGCCGGCTGGGAGCTGGGAGCCGGGAGCTGGGGGCTTATCCCCCTGGGACGCTCTCCTTGCCGTCTGAAAGTGTATCTTAAATGACGGGAGGGACCCACTGCACACGCAGGGCATAGGGCGTCGGGGGCCAGCGCGGGGGCCCAGGTCCCTCAGGGCCTCCGCCAGGCACTCAGGGACTTCCCTGGGGCTGCGTGCTTGCCGCTGATTCTCGGAGGTGGTGGGGAGCCTGGCGGGGTGGGTATAACGCGTGGCCACCCTGGTTTCCAGGGCCTGGTGGGGCCAGAGGCACGTGGGCGAGAGGAGGGACAGAAAGACAGGGGGTCTCTGCTGGGGTGGGCAGCCAGCCTGGTCCTGAGGCTGGGCCGCTCGCAGGCTTCTTGGGACGGTGTCCAGCGCCAGGCCCTGTGGGGGGGCTCCCGTAGGTGTCTGCCGAGAACGGTGGGCAGGAGCTGGGTGCTGAGGAAGGGGTTCTTCCTGGCGTCTCTGCCTGGACAGTGACAAGGTGATGCTGTAGGGGTTCCTGCAGGCAGAAGGGAGAGGACGGAGACGCCTCCGGTGATGGTGGGACAGGGTGCAGTGTTCCACCCCCTAGCCATTGAAGAAGTGGAGGTGCGTTTTAGAAGGCACATTGTAAAAAATCTACCTAAATGGGGGAAATGGAGATGGACTCCTGCTGTGCTGGTGAGATGGGGGCCCCGGTTCAGCTGCCCGAGAGCAAGGAGCTCAGGGGCTGCAGGGCCTGATAAGTCAGGAGCTCCCTCCCCAAAGTGTAACCTGCGCAGAGACAGAAATAAAGTCGAAGCTCTGAGTGGGAGCAGGTGGGAGTGAGAGGTTGGAAGTCACCCGACAGGCCCAGCCGTGGTGAAAGGGTAAAGACGTCCCAGCAAACCCACAGTGATGATCAGTAGCCGGGGACCAGGCTCCACGGCGTGCGATGGGGCACCGGGAGGTGAGGGCAGCGGGCGTGCTGGACGCGGGCTCGCCCCCTGTGCTTTTGCGTTTGTTTGAAAAACTCCAGAGTGAAACGTCTGAAAGCGTATCGTAAATGACGGGAGGGACCCACTGCACACGCAGGGCGTAGGGCGTCAGGGACCAGCGCCGGCGGCCAGGTCGCTCTTCACCGTGTCATGTGAGCATCCATCCGGACGCAGTGCTTCCTGTGGGGCTTCCGTGGGCCCTTCGGGGATGTGCAGGCACTAGGGTGGTGCCCAGGGCCAGAGGGGGTGGGGGCGGGAGGCAGGGGCCGCTCGAGCCCAGGGGTGGGTGCATAGGGGCTTCGGGCTGACCTGGGCCACCCACCCCATGGCCTGTGGCTGTCACAGCCACCCTGGAGCACAGAGAGGGGACGGAGGCCCTGGGCCCACCAGGCTGGCATGTGGGGCAGGAAGGGCAGTGAGGCTGCTGGCGTGGAAGATGCATCCCTCTTGGCACCTGACCCCGGGAGAGGACGAGGGGGCACCCAGGCCTATGGGCTCCTGGCCGGCAACAGCCCCAGCTGCCGGTGGGGAGGGGCCACGGGCACTCTGGGGCTGGCAGGGTGGGGACACCAGGAGGGGACAGTGCACGGCCACGCCGGGAGGAGGCCGGGGCGGGCGGAGACCTGAAGCCATGTGTCCATTGGGCAGGGAAAGGCCAGGACGAAGCCCAAGGCTGGGCTGAGCTCTGCTGGGCAAAAGGCCGGGGCTGGGCCCTGGGTCAGGTGCCCAGGCCTGTGGCCGCGAGCGGGGCAGGACCGCACCCGGGCGTGGGGTGGTTCCAGAGCCTGGCTGCTCCGGCCTGGGCCTTCTGTGGCCCCCGGTCCTCTCAACGTGACCCCCGCACCCTGCCGGTGCGCCTGACAGTCAGGGACACGGCCCCGGATCTGGAACCAGTGCTCTGCACAGACTGCACAGGGCAGGGGGGCCGAGCAGGGGCCCCAGGACCGCACAGTGTCAGTTGGGCCGCTTCCTCTGGCTTTTGCAGAAGTGACTTCTAGAGACAGTGGTCCCCTTTCTGCTGCCATCTGCATCAGGGAAGAGCCGGGCGGCGCAGCCCCTGGGGGAAGGGACCACCTCCCAGTTTTCCAGAATCTCAGTTCTGACAAAGGAATCGGGCCCAGGGTGAGGCTTTTGTGTCCCTCCCAGGCTCATGGGGCTCAGGGGCGTCTGGACAGCTCCCAGGTGGGGTGGCACCCCTGCAGCTCATGTGGGCCACCCTCACAGTTGGAGACCCTGCTGGATCCCCCTTCATCAGGCTCAGCCCTCCCTCACCCCCGAGCTGACCGGGCCACAAACCCGCGTGCCACGCTGGCCCCACTGGGTGGCCACCCTGAGCACCTTGGGCCATCTCCTTAGAGGGGAGAGTTCGCTCTGCTTGCGGGTCTCAGGGCCAGGTATAGACCTCAGGCAGAGCGCCCCTGGGTGGCCCCCTGCCTGACTTGCAGGGGGCTGGCTGAGCAACGAGGGTGCAGGGATGGACAGGGGAGGCCCATTGACCCTCCAGGCCCACGCCCACCAGTCCGTCAGGACGTCAGTTTCGAAAGGTCAATGCGTTTCTGTGCTGCCGCAGCGCCTTACCTTTGTCTGTATTTCCGAGGTCTTGCTTACAAATCTAGGTCGATGAACTCTGCAGCTTCAGGTAAACACCTTGGCTTCCTGTTATTTCCCGGTGGTTCATCGGTTGTCAGCACAGCCGGCCTGCCCAGTGTTGGGGGGCGGGGTCTGCACCTGCCGACGCCCCACGGGGCTGGGGGCTCCGCCCGACAGGGGCTGTGGGTGGGGTCTGGGCCTGGCTCCAGGCTGGCTGAGGAAGGGTTTAGAGAGCCCGCCTCCCCCAGACCCTGTCTAGCTGACAGGATGGAGCTTACGTTAGGGGCACAGAAGGAAGCAGAGCAGAGAGGTGGGGGGGCCAGAATCCTGCCCCATCTGCCCGCACCCGTGAGCCCGTCCACCTCTGTCGTGGGCAGTCTCCCCGGGGTCCCGGGCCCTTTCACAGGAGCAATGTCCATGCACTTTGCATCTCAGGTCATTCTTTCACCAGGAAAAATTCCTAGAAAGGATTTTATCTGCTCAAAAGTGAAGCACAGGGCTTCCCTGGTGGCCCCAAAATAAATAAATTTATTTTTTTTTAAAGTGTAGGGCTTCCCTGGTGGCGCAGTGGTTGAGAGTCCGCCTGCCAATGCAGGGGACACGGGTTCGTGCCCCGGTCCGGGAAGATCCCACATGCCGCGGAGCGGCTGGGCCCATGAGCCATGGCCGCTGAGCCTGCGCGTCCGGAGCCTGTGCTCCGCAACAGGAGAGGCCACAGCAGTGAGAGGCCCGCGTACCGCAAAAAAAAAAAAAAAAAAGTGAAGCACATTGAAGATTTTTTTTAAATTAATTAATTTTATTTTTTGCTGCATTGGGTCTTTGTTGCTGCGCGCGGGTTTTTTCTAGTTGCGGCGAGCGGGGGCTACTCTTCCTCGTGGTGCACGGGCTTCTCATTGCGGTGGCTTCTCTTATTTCAGAGCACGGGCTCTAGGTGTGCAGGCTTCAGTAGTTGTGGCACGTGGGCTCAGTAGTTGTGACTCGCAGGCTCTAGAGCGCAGGCTCAGTAGTTGTGGCGCACGGGCTCAGTTGCTCCATGGCATGTGGGATCTTCCCGGACCAGGGCTCGAACCCGTGTCCCCTGCATTGGCAGCCGGATTCTTAACCACTGCACCACCAGGGAAGCCCACATTGAAGATTTTTGAGACATGTTACCAAATTGTGCTAGAAAACATCTGTGCCCGTTTATGCTCCCAACACAGTGAAGGATCCCACTTCCTCACTCTCTTGCCAACACTAAGAATTAAAGTTCTTTATTTTTGCCAGTCTGATAGGCAAGGAAAAGACCACTGTTGGGTTGTTTACGTTCGCATTTCTTTGACTATATAAGTGAAGTTGAGCGTTTTCCAATTTGTAGGAGGTACTTTTACTTCTTCTGTGAATGATCAGCTTCGACACTTATTTCTGTGGATTTGTGGGAGTCCTTTTTATATTAAGCCTCGGCTGTCGTGTCCCACAGGATGAAGACAAGACTTGGCACTTAACACATGCTCACTAACCGTTTGTCAAATAACTTAATTTGTGATTTAATCTGATTTCCGTAAAGCAATTTCAACCCACCCTTTCTCCAGGTCACGTGAAACTCTGGAGGAAACGTCTCAACAGGATCGTTATATGACATACACCACAGCCCCATCCTGAGCCCAGAGCTGTCAGACATGACAGGTGAGAGCCCCACCCCATGCCTCCTTTGACTTGGAACATTTAGGAGGGAGCCCATGAGAATTTTTCTACCAATGCAGTTTGTCTCATAACAGGGAAAATTACTTCAAAAATTAGCATGCAAAAGTAAACTTCTCGAGGGACTTCCCTGGTGGCGCAGTGGCTAGGGCTCCGCGCTCCCAATGCAGGGGACTCAGGTTCGATCCCTAGTCAGGGAGCTAGAGCCCACATGCTGCAACTAAGACCTGATGCAGCCAAATAAATTAAAAAAAAAAAAAGTAGACTTCTTGAAATAAAAACTAGCTCAGAAACAGTCAAGCCGGAGGCTGGGCTGCCCTGGTGGCTCAGTGGTTGGGGGTCCACCCGCCGACGCAGGGGACACGGGTTCGTGCCCCGGTCCGGGAAGGTCCCACATGCCGCGGAGCGGCTGGGCCCGTGAGCCACGGCCGCTGAGCCTGTGCGTCCGGGAGCCTGTGCTCCGCAACAGGAGAGGCCACAGCAGTGAGAGGCCTGCGTACCGCAAAAAAAAAAAAAAAGTGTGAATTTTGGGGCTCCACTGGTGGCACAGTGGTTAAGAATCCGCCTGTCGGGCTTCCCTGGTGGCGCAGTGGTTGAGAGTCCGCCTGCCGATGCAGGGGACACGGGTTCGTGCCCCGGTCCAGGAAGATCCCACATGCCGCGGAGCGGCTGGGTCCATGAGCTATGGCCGCTGAGCCTGCGCGTCCGCAGCCTGTGCTCCACAACGGGAGAGGCCACAGCGGTGAGAGGTCCGCGTACCGCAAAAAACAAAAACAAAAACAAAAACAAAAACAAAATAAAGCTGGAGGCTTTCCATGAAGACATCAGGAAGCACGCACTTCTTAATTCTCTTGAAGTGCTAGAAGAGAACCAAGAACAGGACTGAAGGAGATGTGGAGGCTCTGGGGTCCACCGGGGCCTCATATCCTGCCCACTTCTTGTGAGAGACCCTGTGCCGAGCCACAGATGCCCCACAGAGCCTCCTTCCCCTCCCGGGGTCTCGTGTGCCCCCAGCCTGGGAGACTCCTTTCCCAAGCAGTCAGAGTCCTCTGAGTGCCCCGTGGTGGGAGGGGCAGGCTCTCACCTGTGTGCTCAGTGCTGGTCACCAGACGGCTTGGGGGAGGGGACTGGGTGTAGGCAGGTGAAGACGGGAGGCCACGTGCCAGCCCTGTGGCCCCAGCAGGTGGCATGTGGCTGCACTAGCTATACTGAGTCCAGTCGGCACCCTGGGGGGTGGGCAGTGTTGGAGGGGTGGCTGGGAGCAGTGGGGGGCCCACAGGCCTCACCTGGGCCTCCACTTGGGTTTGGGGCTCCCTTGCGCTCTGCCCCCCGGAGTGTGGCAAGACAGGATCGGTGCTGGGATGGAGCCAGGGCAGTGCTGGGGTCCAGCGGGTTGGGCTGGTGCCTTGGAGGACTCGCATGGCTGGGAGGGACGAGCCGTCCAAGCAGGGCCAGCCTGTGCAGACAGGTGTCACGTTTCTCCCACCTGAGAACCGCCCTCCACAGCCCGGTGCTCCCCTACACACCGCCGGCCCCCCCGCTTGGTGCAGCCCGACTCGTGTGGAGAACTGACAGCCGGGTCTGATGACTCCCCGACACCCTCCGTCTGCACGTGGAATTAAGCCCACATCCTAGAGGTTAGGTCCATGAGTGGGGGCCCAGAAAAGGGACCGCCTTGCTCCCATCGGGACAGCCACTGTCAAAACCAAAATACTGGGCTTCCCTGGTGGCACACTGGTTGAGAGTCCGCCTGCTGATGCAGGGGACACGGGTTTGTGCCCCAGTCCGGGAAGGTCCCACATGCCGCGGAGCGGCTGGGCCCGTGAGCCATGGCCGCTGAGCCTGTGCGTCCGGGAGCCTGTGCTCTGCAACAGGAGAGGCCACAGCAGTGAGAGGCCCGCGTACCGCAAAAAAAAAAAAAGAAAAAAAAAGTGTGAATTTTGGGGCTCCACTGGTGGCACAGTGGTTAAGAATCCGCCTGTCGGGCTTCCCTGGTGGCGCAGTGGTTGAGAGTCCGCCTGCCGATGCAGGGGACACGGGTTCGTGCCCCGGTCTGGGAGGATCCCACATACCGTGGAGGGGCTGGGCCCGTGAGCCATGGCCGCTGAGCCTGCACGTCCAGAGCCTGTGCTCCGCAACGGGAGAGGCCACAACAGTGAGAGGCCCGCGTACCGCAAAACAAACAAACAAACAAAACAAAACAAAAATACCAAGTGCTAACGAGGATGTGGAGAAATGGGAACCCCTGTGCGCTGTCGGTGGGACCGGAAAATGGAGCAGCTGCTGGGGAAAGCAGTATGGAGATCCCTCAAGAATCTGCCTTCCAATGCAGGCGACTCGGGTTCAAACCCTAGTCAGGGAACTAAGATCCCACATGCCGCGGGGCAACTAAGCTCACGCGCCACAACAAAGAGCCTGCGTGTGGCAGCTAAGACCCAACGCAGCCAAAAATAAATAAGAAGTGAACACAGGTGTGGAAGAGGTATTTGCACACCCATGTTCATGGCAGCACTGCTCACAATAGCCAAGATGTGGAAGTAGCCCAAGTGTCCACAGACAGAAGAGTGGAAAACCCTAATGTGGTCCATCCACACAGTGGGCTATAACTCTGTCCTAAAAAGGAAGGATGTTCTGACACATGGACTCTGAGAATATGATGCAAAGCTAAAAAGCCCCAGAAGGACACATTCGTTATGACCCACTCACAGGAAGCGCTGGGGCAGGGGTGGGCAGTGAGTCTGAGTGCTTAATGGGGACGGAGTTTCAGTGTTGCAAGATGAAAAATTCTGGAAATGGATATGGTGACGGTTGTACAACAATGTGAATGTACTTAGTGCCGCAGAAATGGACACTGAAAATGGTTAAGATGGTCACTTTTATCTTAGGTATATTTTACCAGAATTTTAAAAATTGGGAAAAACAAGTGAGTGGCACAAAAGGGTGTTGGGAGCACGTTGGGGGGCCGACAGCTCCATCACCCTGGGGACCTTCACAGCGAGCTTTCAGCTGAAGAACGAGCGCTGCTCTCTGCCCGCCTTCACTGGCCTGCCGCTAACTTCTGCACCAGGTCGCCCTGCGGGGGGCGGGGGGTGCTGAAAACCATGCATGGGCACTGGGGCTGAGTCCCTCGGGAGGGCCCTCGAAGCCCGAGGGATCCCGGACGGCTGCCCACCACCCCACGGCCATGTCAGCGTTGGGATGCCCCGAGGTTTCCTTGGCTGTTGGATGTGCGTGTGGAAAGGCCCAGGGGTCACGGGCTGCGGAAGCAAGGGCCACGTTCTCTGCTGTCACTGAGGCCACCCCAGGCCTGTCCAGCCTGCTGTCCACTCCCCTGGCCGGATCACGGGGCCATCACCGCCAGAGGCTGCTGCAGCTGAGCGGCAGCGTGAAGCTCCACCTGCGACCGGGCGCTGCCTGTGGTTCCCGCTGACCTCAGGGGGCTGCTCCACCCACAGTCTGCTGTCCGAGGTGCACAGGGCCTAAACGGGACAGCATCTCCCGAGGCCAGGGCACAGGCTCCGGGAGGTGCGCGTCCCCCCATGGCCACCCAGATGCTCCTGTCGCATGGCAGGTCCCAGGGGCGGGTCAGGAGGGAGAGGGTCCAGGGAGGCTCTGGGCACAGGTCAGGCAGTGGGTGCTGGGGTCACCGCCACAAGAGCGACCCAGGAGAGGCAGGCTGGGCGGGAGAGGGAGGGCGCCTGGGACACACTGGCTTCCTTCCGCATGTCGTGTGGGGTCCCTCAGCCCGGGGAGCCACCGGTGTGAGTCACCGCAGTGTCCGTGGATCCTTAGACGGGGGGCAGAGGGCTCACCCCTACAGCAGGGCGCTTGGTCCTGTGACTCATTCCTTGTCCCCTCGGTGGGAAGGCAGGTGAGGGCACCACCTCGCAGGTGCCTGGAGCACCCCTCCCCACTGGCTTCTTTCCCCCTGTTGAGAGGGGTGGTAGCTGGTGTTCCAGGCAGGGCTTCAGGGGAGGGCAGGTGGGCATCCAGGTCCCGCCATCCTCCTGGGTCCTCCATGACAAGCAGGCACTGGAGCTTGGAGGAGCCCCCAGTGCCAGTCTGTGGTTCTTCCCAGCCCCCCATCCCAGCAGGGACCCCAAAGCCCTGGTGAGCTTCCACTTCCCATGCCGTGGCCCACCAGCCCAGCTCTGCACGGTCCCAGTGCGAACCCCGCAAAGCCCAGGTGACACATCTGAAGAGCGTCGTGAAAGCTTGCCTGAGCCCGCAGGGGTGGAGGGAAGTCGGGAGCGGGCAGCGGGCCGTGGGCTGTGGGGAGCCCTGGGTTGTGTGACGCCGAGCTCGCTCTGAGCTGGGCTTCATATGACGGCTGACAGTGGCGACTGTCCCATGTAACTGACGCTTAGAGTCCGCAGAGGGACGCTGACAGGCCTAAGGTTTCAGGGCTCGTTTCATGTTTATGGACTGACTCCTTACCGCTTGTTTCTTGAGGGGACAGCAGGTGAGCCCTGGCTCCCACGTGGGGAGGGCGTGGGCTCTGAATTGGGACACCTGCATAGGGACCCCAAAGTTCAGCTCCGCTATGAGGCCTGGATGGAAACCAGCCCTGGAGTAAATCCAAGGACTCCTGCCCTCCGGCCACCTGAGCCCACAACCCCTCGGAGGACAGCCCCTCCCACTCAGGAAACGCCCATGGATAACGCCCCATCAGGCGTGAGCTCACAACCGCCACAAGACATGCGCAGGAGCCGGCCTGTGGGAGGGTGTGCAGGCACTGTGCCGTGGCGGGGGCCCTGCCTCCAAGACTGCAGGTGCTGGGAAGGCCACACACAGTGACATCAGTACGTCGGGTGAATGTGAGATCAGAGACGGAAGGAAAAACATAAGCAGAGAACAAGAGACTCGAAAGGGAGCCAGATGGAGTGTCTAGAAGTGAAAGACATGATCCCTGAGTTTTAACGGAGTGAATGAGTAAAAAAAAAACCCACCAATTAGACACAGGTACAAAGAGCTCACAAACTCAAGTTCAATGTCAGTAGGTTGCCTGGACAGACGGATGGTCCTGCAGGATGGGGGAGGGGGGGAGGGTGCAGAGCGAGGTGAGGATAGGGCAAGAGGTCCAGCACGTGCCTGACCAGAGCCCCAGGAGGCAAACAGGGGGCCATCCGGAGCACTGGGGTGTACAGAGTCTCGGATTCAGGGGTCCGAGGGCACGGCAACTGGCCGTCGTCGCAGCTTCAGAAGCCAGAAGACGGGCTGCGGCGGGGCCGGAGCTAAATCAGACCCCTGGGGGGACCGTCCTCCAGAATTGGGGTAAAAGTGCATTTCAGATGAACCAAAGCTGGGGCAGGCTCTCGTCCACAGGGCTCGCGAGGGCCGTCCTCAGGGAAAGGAGGGAGTGACCCTGGAAATGCAGCAGATGGAGGACAGGGAGCGGGTGGAAGTCTGGCCGACACGCGGGCACCTGTGAACAGGGAGGGGCAGTGTGAATACAACAACCACGGCAGGAACAGTAATAATAACGACATCTGACCTACGGGGTTAGACAGGCAAAGAGCCCACACGACTAACATAACTGGGACCAGAACTGCACATCAGCCAAACGTGGGGCCGTTAGAGCAACAGCGTCCCAGGGTTTGTGCCCACGCAGGAGGTGAAGGTTCTGACTAACTTTAGACACTACTAAATACGCACATTAAAACATCCAGGGTCCTCTCGAAAAGATTAAAAATGGCTTAATAATCTCCAAAACAATAAAGGGGGAAAGAGACTAAAAACAACTCAGTAAATGCAAAAGATGTATTGTTTGCTAGGGCTGCTGTAACAAAGGACCACAGACCAGGTGATTTATTTTTTTACTTTATTTTTTTGGCTGCGTTGGGTCTTTGTTGCAATGCGCGGGCTTCTTATTGTGGTGGCTTCTCTTGTTGTGGAGCACAGGCTCTAGGCACGTGGGCTTCAGTAGTTGTGGCACGTGGGCTCTGTAGCTGTGGCTCTTGGGCTCTAGGGCACAGGCTCAGCAGTTGTGGCACACGGGCTTAGTTGCTCCGTGGCACGTGGGATCTTCCCAGACCAGGGCTCGAACCCGTGTCCCCTGCGTTGGCAGGCGGATTCTTAACCACTGCACCACCAGGGAAGTCCAGATCAGATGACTTAAATCACAGACATTTCTTCTGTTGTAGCCCTGGAGGCTGGAAGTCCGAGATGGAGGTGTGGGCGGGCTGCATTCTTCGGAGGCCCCTCTCCTCGGCTTGGGATCGCCGTCTTCTCCCTGTCCTCACATCGGCTTTCGTTCACGCGTGTCCCTGGGTTTAAATGTCCCCTTTTTATAAGGACACAGTCATACTGGATTAGGACCCACCCTAAAGATCTCATTTTGACTTGGTCACCTCTGTAAAGACCCCATCTCCAAATCCGGTCACGTTTTGAGGTCCTGGGGCTTAGGACTCCACATATCTTCTTTGGGGGGGGTGGGGGGTGACACAATTCAACTCATAACAGAAGGCGAATAGAGAATAAAGTCTCCTCAAGCCCACAAACAGCACTTTGGAAAATGACTGTTGGTGACAAGGACGCGGTATTGCCGGCCTTGTACCCTCGAGGCCATTGGCTGGGGGATGGGGGATTTAGGATCACTTTAGGAAACCATCTGGAAAACTTTAACCCTGGCGCGCCCAGTCCGCAGCTGACAAGAGCCTTCTTGCGCCAGCACATCTGATTCAGGTGGTTCCCAGCGACACCCGCCCTCACGCTGTCTCTGCCCCACAGGAAACGCCACGCCGGTGGCCAGCCCTCTGCCAGGGGCCCTGTTGACTGGCGTATCTCCCCAGAACTGCACGGTGCCCTTCAACGAGAGCAGGGTGTTCCTGGTGACTGTGTACAGCACCGTGTGCATGCTGGGCCTGCCAGCCAACTGCCTGACGGCCTGGCTGACGCTGTTGCAGGCGCGCCAGGGCCACGTGCTGGCCGTCTACCTCTTCTGCCTGGCACTGTGCGAGCTGCTGTACACCAGCACCCTGCCACTCTGGGTCGTCTACATCCAGAACGGGCACCGCTGGCTCCTGGGCCCGCGGGCCTGCAAGGTGACCGCCTACGTCTTTTTCTGCAACCTCTACGTCAGCATCCTTTTCCTGTGCTGCATCTCCTGCGACCGCTTCCTGGCAGTGGTATACGCGCTGGAGACGCGAGGCCGCCGCCACCAGAAGACCGCCATCCTCGTCTCCGTGTCTGTCTTCGTTTTCGTGGGGCTCGTCCACTACCCGGTGTTTCAGATGGAGGAGAAGGAAACCTGCTTTGAGACGCTGCCGATGGACCGCGAGATCGCCGGGTACTACTACACGCGCTTCGCCGTGGGCTTCGCCATCCCTCTGTCCGTCATCGCCTTCACCAACGAGCGCATCTTCAGGAGCATCAAGATGAGCACCGGCCTGAGCGCCGCCCAGAAGGCCAAGGTGAAGCATCTGGCCGTCGCGGTCGTGGCCATCTTCCTGCTCTGCTTCACTCCCTACCACCTGGTGCTCCTGGTCAAAGCCATAGCCTTTTCCTACTACAAAGGAGACAGGGGCCTTGTGTGCACCTTCGAAATCAAACTGTACACGGTCTCCGTGGTGTTCCTGAGCCTGGCCACGGTGAACAGCGTGGCTGACCCCATCATATACGTGCTGGCCACAAAAGTTTCACGCCAAGAAGTGTCCAGAATCCACAAGGGGTGGAAAAAGTGGTCCATGAAGACAGACGTCGCCAAGCTCACGTATTCGAAGGATTCACAGGAGGCACGATCGCCCACATAGCTCACAAACGGCTACGCCTTCCCCAAGCCTGTCCGCCCACCGGGGCCACCGCCGGGCGCGCGGCCTCGCCATGCACCCTGGAGGGCCTGACCGAGGGGGTCCTGCTGAACCCAGCGTGGGAGTCCAGGGCCGATCACTCGGCTTCCCACGGAGCCTGCCTGCCAGCGTCCACAGCGCTGGCTGTGGAGCCCCCTCTGGACGACACGCCACAGATTTCTCGTTCCTGGAGCTTCTGCCCCTTGTGGGTCCCAGCCCTGCAGGCTTTTCCACTGGGAGCAGAAGCCCCACAAGGGAGGTGGCAGCACGCCGAGGGTAAGGGCGAGTCTGCCAGCTGCAGGGGGAGCCCGTGGCAGGCAGGAGGGCTTGTTCTGCTTGGCGCTCTCGGCTATTAGCGCACTGCAGGGTCGCAGGCAGAGGCCGTGTGGCCACATGGTGCTGCCAGCAGCTGGCACAGGCCCTGCGGGCGGTAGGTGCCTGTCAGCCTCCGCGTGATGGCTTTATTTTCCGCGCTTTTCTGCAAGCGTTGCTTGGATGACCGTGATAGTACATGGCGGGGCCTTTGTTCTTCTGCCCCAGATTGTCAGTGCAAGCCCTGCCCCTTCCTGAGGTGGCTGCTTACGGGGACTTGGCTGGGGCCTCGGCTGGGGCCTCTCTGTGCTGCAGACCCTGAGGGGAGCCGGGGGGCGGGGTGCACCCACATGGCCTCCGGAGGGAGCCCCAGGTGCTCGTGGCAGGAATGCCCATCAGCCGGGAGGGCCGGGGGACACCCCAGGCAGGGTGACACTCCGCCAACGGGCTCCGAGGACGGCGGTAAGTCCTCCGCACCGAGGCTTCCCAGCTCCGCTGTCGGGGAGAAGCCGCCGAGGGCCAGGCCAGGTCACAGCGCTACCTCCGTTCCCGCATCCGTGACAGGGGCCAGTGACACCTACCTCAGCGGGTCGGCATTGGGGGCTGACCACACCCACCGCTTATGTTCGCATTTCCCTAAGGCAGCAGCGCTGGATGTTCTTCATTGTGAGAGGCCCTGAGAGGATATGTGATTTAGAAAATACGTTTAGAAATAAAAATGCAAGAATACACGTCGGTGCCAACTTCCTAACCTGGGGTAATATCATTTTACCTTCTCAGGCAAACGTTTCCCTCTAGGCACCTCTTGGAGGGCCAAGCCCTGGGGGAGGGGCGTGCGCCTGGGCTCTCCAGGTGATGGGCCGGCTTCCAGGAACAGTCTGGATTATTCAGGGCCGGGATCACAGGACGTTTCGACAACATCTGACGTATGACTTCCCGGGGCTGCTGTAACTAATTACTGCAAACCGGGGGGCGTAAAGCAAACAGGATTCTCTCAGCCTTCTGGGGGTTGGAGGTCGGAGATCAAGGCGTGGGCAGGGCTCCTTCTGGCGAATCTCAGGCAGCGGGTTCCATGCCTTGCTCTTGGCCTCTGGCGCTGCCGTGCCCCCCCACCCCGGGTTCACCCCCCTCTCTGTCTCTTTGGACTTAGGGCTCCCCTGGATAATCCAGGGTGAGCTCAGCGCTGCATCCTTAGCCAAAGCCTATTTCCAAATAAGGCCCCGCCCCCAGATTCCGGGGAGTAGGACGAGACGGATCCTTCCGGAGGCCACCAGTCTATCCACTACAAATGGCAGGAAGGAGCGAGAACCATGCTCTGTGGCTCCCAGGGGAGGAGTGGCCCCCAGACTCACTGCCCACTCCTCGTCACTCCGCACCTGTCACCGTCCACTTGGCGGTGACCATGACAAACGTGGGGAAGACACGGTTACCGGGCGAGCACCCCACGACTGTGCTCTGGCCTCCCAGTTGCTGCGAAAATCTGCTGTACAAAAAAAAAGAATGATGGTAGAGTCTCTCTATCTTTTTCATTAATACCCTTTCTTGGCAGCCTCATGCCGCTTCCTTGCCAGTTTTAGGAAAAGTTCCTGGCATCCGAAATCCCAGCCTGGGGCCCTCCCTCCAGCCCCCTCACCTGGCAAACCGCTCCCCAGGACCGTCCTTGCACCCTAGCCTCTCGGGCAGCGTCACTGGCCCCGGGGTTTCGGCATCTTACGCCTCAATTTCAGTCACGGAGGTAAAGCTCGTGCTCCCACCGAGGGGAGCAGCAGGGCCTTGTGAGCAGGGTCCCCACCTCTCCGTCCATGAGAGTCCGGGGCTGCCAAAACAAATGACTGCAAACCAGGACGAAAGGCCTTAAAGCAACAGGAATTTACCCTTTCACAGCTCCAAGGCCCCGAGTCCAAAATCAAGGTGTCGGCAGAGCCGCACTCCCTCCAGAGGCTCCAGGGGACAGTCCTTCCTGCCGTTTCAGCCTCTGGTGGCTCTAGGGGTCCCTGGGCTTGTGGCTGCATCACCCCAATCTCTGCTTCTGTCTTCACGTGCCCCCTTTTGTGTCCCTCCGGGTTGCCCCTTCCATCTCAAGGCCGCGTGGTGGGCCCCAGGGGCCGTCTGGACGCCCGGCGCTGGCCCTGCCTGGTCCGCAGTCATCCTGGCCCAGCAGCTCTGTGGCGGGGCACTGCTTTCTGTCCGCTCTCCCCAGGGAGCTCAGAGCCAGCCTCGCCCGCACCAGGGTGCCCAGGCTGTGCAAGGTGCAGGGGAATCGGATGCGAGCTGGTTGAGAACTGTGCCCGATGGGTCCGCACCCTCCACCCTCAGGCCGTGGGGCTTCATCCACACTGGCCCGGGGGTAGCGGGTGCGTGAGCCTTAGCGGTGGGCCCGGCCTGTCCACCCTTCCCCTCCTCTCTCCCTCTGTCCTCTCACAGCACTGTCTCAGAAGACAGCCTGTGTGTGTGTGTGTGTGCGTGTGTGTGTGATGTGACCCTGGACGCAAGCCCCCAGCCCCCAGCCCCCAGCCCCCAGCGAAGGGGCTTCCCCGTTAGTTCACCACCACCTCTTCACACCCTGGCTGGGAACTGCCTACTTTTCCATCTTTTGCTGACATCATGCAACCAACAAACGGCCCGTTCTCCCCGGGCAGGATCCCGTCAAGCACCGCCCGGCCCACCAGCTCCTCACTGAGGCGGAGGCAGGGCTCAGGCCCTAGGAGCCGCTGGCTCAGGTGAGGGGCTGCCAGGACTTTGCCGGGAGGGGTGGCCTGGAGGGTCTCTGCCCCCGGGGAGTCTCAGAGGGTGCCTGCAGGATGACATGGGGCCACATGAAATTAGAAGGTGGCTGCGTGGAGGGGCTGTCACTGCTGGGGAGGGCAGGCTCCGTGCTCAGGGCCCAGCCAGGTCCCAATCCACCATCCACAGCCCTTGGTGGAGGGGCTTCCCGGGGGGCCCAGAGTGGGGGACTGGGCTCCGGTCACCTGCCAGCTCCGTGCTGGACACAGGGCTACCCAGGGCGTGAGGCGGCCCTGCCCCTGAGGCTGAGACCCTGGGGAGCAGCTGGGGAGGCAGTGGTCAAGGGCCCACCTTGGCCCGAGGCACAGTCTTCCCCGACACACACCTCCCCTCCCCTAATATCGTAGCTGAACCTTCGTTCACCGACCACAACCTTTCTCCTTCATCTGACTCACGTCACTCAGGGAAACTTCTCACGTTCATAGTGGGGTTACAGAGCCTGAGAGCCGGTCAGACAGCCTCCCCTCCCTCCATCACCCCCCTCCCTCCATCACCCCCCTCCCTCTGACCCTCCCTCCCCCTCTTCCATCCACCCCTCCACAAAGTGCTCCCCACAGTTCCACGAGGTGGGGAGGGAGCCAGGCACAGTGAGGCCCACCCTTGCTGTCCTGGGGTCCATGGAAGGAGGCAGGAACTGAGGAGGGGAGCGTCAAGACCCCTCGGGGCTGCCCGGCCATCTCGAGCAGCCCAGGCTACACTCCTGGGCTCTTTCCTCAAGTGTGTCCCAGACCAGCGCTCCCTGGAGGGACACCCTGCTGTTTGTTCACTGATGTATTCCCAGCTCCCTGGACAGGGCCCGTGTCTAAGCAGGGCCTGTTGCTGTTCCCTGAGGGACCGATGGTCGCGTGCGTGGGCGATCACCCTGCCAGCTGGGGAGACCCACCCAGGCTCCCCCGACATTTCAGCACTCACATGTGTCCAAGTATTTGAAAAGTCAACAACCTAACAGCCCCGTTCCACCAGACACACCCCGGCTCCCAGCCCTGACAAATACACCCGCACATCTGGTGCAGGGTCAGGCCCCCTCCGGGGCCCACCCTCACTCCTCCGGACTCACGAGTGGCCGCAGCCCACAGGTGTGCACACCGGGCAGACCCCGTGGGGACAGGCCCAAGGAGAAGCCACGGCAGCGGCAGGGGAGGTGATCTCTGAACGGTTTGGCTGGGAATCCTGGGGTCACATGGTCTGGAGTTGGTCTAGAAGAGGCGGCACAGCCCCAGGAAGGCACACTGCTGCCCAAAGCCTCCTGACCTGCTAGAGGGACCTGCCGGGGAGGCTCTCCTGAGTGGACAGGAAAGCACGCTGACATTCATGGGAGTGCTTGGTCCTAGCGGGGAAACAGCCGCGCTCCCCGTGTTACTCTAAGACCTTCCGGAAACCCCGGACGTCGGAGGACAGCTCGCTTTGGACGAGGTATTTCACCCCTGCCAGCCCAGCGTCGTGACCTGGGATTTGGGAATGGCCACAGGACCTGCCCGCAGGGCTATTGGGGACGTTCACTGACATCATATCTGTCCCCCGCTTAAGCTGTGCCTGACACCGAGTGGGCGCTCAAAACTTAGAGCCTCGTTTCAGCTTCCCGGGTGGTCTTTCCCCGGGGTCCTGCGAAGACCCAAGTTCTTGATGACCAAGGCCCGCCTGTCCCAGTGACGGCCCCTAGAGGGTACCCGCGAGGCTGAACGCGCCTTGCATGTCCGGCCCGCGGCCGCCAGGGGGCAGCACCACCCGAGGCGGCGCCGGCGGACTAGGCGGCCCCACCGCGGCCTGGGTCTGAGCGCCCCTTCCTCGCCGGATCCGGACCCGCTAGAGCGGTTCTAACGGGAGAAACCGCGCGGGGCCACGCAGGCAGGGCGTGCGGAGCCGGGCCCAAAGCCCGGTCTGAGAAGGGGAAGAGAAGCCGAGAGAGGCCCTGCGCCCGGTGACAAGTGACAGTGACGTGATGGTTGACGGTGACATCAACCGGTGCTCCCGGCCTCGTGCGAATCCTGAGAAACTGCAGGGTCACGGGGCTTCGGGGCTGGGCCCCGGGGGATGGGAGCGCACCCCAGGGGCGGGGAGGGCGGGGACCAGCAGGGCCGGCGGTGGCCCTGTCCCTGGGCTCCGGGCAGAGCGGAGGTGGCCGGGGCCACGCAGCAGGGAGGCCCTCCCGGGAGGCACCCAGAGCACACCCGCCACCAGCCGGGGCAGCTGCTGTGGACACGGCCTGCCGGTGCCTCAAATTTACACGTGACCCAGCAATGCCGCTCGAGGGCGTAGCCAAGAGCGTTGAAAGCATCCGTGTACACATTGTTGGGAGCAGCATTATGCCCAGTAGCCAGATGTCCGTAGCAAACGTGGTCTATCACACAACGGACTGTTACTCGGCCACGAAAAGGAATGGAGTTCTGACCCCTGTTACAGTGTGGCTGAGCCTCGAAAACGTGACAAGTGAGAGGCCAGACACAAAAGGCCACATAAAGCATGAGGCCATTTCTCAGAGGTGTCCAGAGTAGGGAAATCCACAGAAACAGAGGGGAGACAAGTGGTCGCCTGGGGCTGGGGGCGGGGCAGTAAGGCGTGACTTTCTGAGGGGATGAAAGTGTTCTAACATTGACGTATCTGTGGATACACTAAAAGCACTGGCTTGTGCACTTTAAAAGGGTGAGCTGTATGGTATGTGGTCACATCTCAATAAAACTGTTTTAAGAAAAAAGACACATCAGACCCCCTTCATCCAGACTGCAGCCCCAAGGCCCCTGAAGGGACATTCTGGGGCCACCGCAGCTCAAAGGAGGGTGGGCTGAGAGGCCTCAACCCCAGTGGCCCCCATGTATCCCCCACTCATGGCTCTGGGGCTCCACAGCCCCCTAGTGACAGAGGCCTAGGTTTCAGGCAATGGGCAGGCAGCCTGAGGGTGGGCAGGGTGGCTGAGGGTCCCCAGTGGGCTCTGCCCTCAGCCCTGCCAGACCACCTCCCAGCCTCACCCCAGGGTGTCAGGTGAGGTAAGCAGGGTACCTGTCGTTTCTGATGCTCAGGAGATAATCACCTTCCTCCATCATGACCATTCCTGACCCGCCTGGAGATGGCAGCCCGCCCTGCGCTGCCCACCCCTCCACTGCTGGGTTTGCGCTCTGGGAGGGCTCTGATTGCGTCTCAAGTTTCAGCCTACATCAGAATCCCCTGGTGGGCCTGTTGAAACACAGACAGACAGAGCCTAGCCCCGGAGCTTCTGGGTTGGAGAATTTGCCTCCATAACAAGTTCCCAGAAGATACTGCTGCTGGGGGTGCAGGCCTACACCTGGAGAACCTCTGCCCCAAGCCGAACGCCATTGGAAAGGCATGTGTTCAATTGTGGCCAGTGAGAGGTGGGCCAGGACTTCAGTTTCCCCAGAAACTTCCCCAGGACTCCCGTGAGACTGGGTGCTAAGGTCTGGTGCTGCAGCTGCTCTGGGACCCTGGGGGCAACGCCGTCCGAGCGGGGAGCCCGCACGCAGGGGAGGGGCTTTGGGCTCTGCACCGGCCCATTCTGCTCCTCGGCCTATTCAGCGCTGGTGGCATTTGCCTCCAGTCCACCTCAGCCCCTGTGCCCAGGACCTGCTCCTTGTCAGCAGCTGTGCCGGCCACACGCTGATCGCCCCCTTTTACTCCCTTCAGCTCTCTCACGCCGCCTCCCCTGCCGTGTCTCTTCAGTTTCATAAGGACACCGTTTTCTTTCCTTTGTTATTACATCCATGTATACTTACAGAAGTTGCACTTTTCCTAAACATTTGCTTGCCTATATAGGCACCCATGGAAACTATATAGAATTATTTTCTGTATATACTTTTTTTTAAATTTTATTAATTAATTTATTTCTTTTTGGCGGTGTTGGGTCGTCGTTGCTGTGAGAGGGCTTTCTCTAGTTGTGGTGAGCGGGAGCTACTCTTCATCGCGGTGCACGGGCCTCTCACTATCGCGGCCTCTCTTGTTGCGGAGAATGGGCTCTAGGCGCGCGGGCTTCAGTAGTTGTGGCTCGCGGGCTCTCGAGCGCAGGCTCAGTAGTTGTGGCGCACGGGCTTAGTTGCTCCGCGGCATGTGGGATCTTCCCAGACCAGGGCTCGAACCCGTGTCCCCTGCATCGGCAGGCAGATTCTCAACCACTGCGCCACCAGGGAAGCCCCTGTGTATATAATTTTATCTAACTTTTAGTTTTGAAATAATTTCCAATTTACAGAAAAGCAGCACACACAGTTTTGTGGAATTAAAGAGACTAAAGTAGGAGCCGGGACAGACCTGTAGGGGAAGCTCTCATGCCTACTATGCATTATCAATTACCCTAAACAGGAAACGACGTTTACCTACAACTCCCACAAAAGGTGCCTCCAGTTACAATCCAACAGGAAGAAGAAAACTTCTCTCTGCCCCACGACAGCCCAACCAATGAGAAGTCTTCATACTTGGGACTCTGAGCTCGCTCCCACTCTTTGGGTATCACAGCCCCTCCCAACTCCCTTCTTTTCCCTATAAAAGCAAGTTCCTCCTCCTTGTTTTCTGGATTTGCCTGGGGTCCACCATAGTTCGCATTTGCAGAATTGCTATTCCTCTGCCTATTCCTGAATAAACTCACTTTTGCCGGTAAAATAACTGGCTACTATATGATTAAAGTT